ATTCATTTAACACATAGAATAAAGCTTCTCACACAATTTAAATCTCACTTATGTAGGTGGTTGTGTTAAACGTTAAGGTATGTGTATTTGTGATTGAACTGAACTGGTAGATCATAGCGAAATCATCATTTCATTTTGATGATCCTTCATTAAGCATGATGTGTTCAACTATGTATTAGACGTTTCCAACCAAATCAAAGAAATGTTAATTATAGAAACTATTTTAAATATAGTATTCTTAAGTTTTTATGATCCCAACCTTTTGGTTTTTGAAACGAACCTGATCAGTGAACCACGTGATACCGATCAGTACTTCAGACCTAGATAAAACCTTTCTCTTTCGTTTCTGTAGAATATTTGTGCTGTGTGTGACACTCTGCAGAGGTTTAACTGACAACGTTCTTTTTATTATATCTTTTTCATTTCTAAGATATCGTGGGTTAGAATCAAAGTTGAAAGTTGAATTTTAATTTCATTGACCAATTGGTAATCAACAAAACTTGTCTCATATGTTTCACATAACTTTGAATTCTATAGATTGTGGTCAACAGTGCAACTCAGAGAGCACATTTTGTCACATTTGGGACTCATCTCCTAAATGTATTTATAACCTAGGGTTTCAACAAATCAGCTATATCGACTCTATCTGTGGATAATGCATCTGTGCCAAAAAATTCAAACATGAAAACCAAGAATGAGAAAATTCAAACTTTTAAAACTTTTAGTTGTGTTTGTTATTGCATGAATGTTTATGTATTGCAAAATATTTGATGCTTTGTCAGCCAGTTGTATTTTTAGCACCAGTTTAGTTGTAAGGCTTGAACCAACAATTTAGAGTTTTGACCATTTGGCAGTTGATTTCACTGTATTGCGGAATGCCATCTATGAATCAGCTTAATATGCATAACTTTACCAATGAAGATGTCATATATGTGTTCATAAAAACTCTATAGTCATCCTTCATGGCTTATTTTTAAACAATCATGAAAATTATTCCTATTTTAAAAACTAATTTCTAGGTCGGTTATCGAGATGCTGGAGAAGATTTGTAGCTCTGGTGGATGATTTGGGTGGAGTTTTGTTCTCTGAGCTGGATGGTTTGGTCGTGGAGCTTTCATCGTTCTTCTGAACGAAATCATCTGCCTGAAGTTTGTGCTGATGAATATTCTAATAAAGTTTTCCGGATTCAATTGTACATGTATTGCTATTGATTCACACATTTATGAAACAAGATATTCTGTATGATACCTTTTAGACTATAGCCTAACAAAGTATACTTTTCAACACTAAAGACAAGATAAAATTCGATTTTATTGAGACTACTTTTTGAACTACTTACAAGTAGGTGTGCTTAAAATGTGATATTATTTATCTATACCCTTGTTATTGGTGTAGGCTTTGTGGAGATTTTTGAGTCTCTTATTTCTCATCAATGATTAGCCTTAGTCGGACAATCGACCAGATTCAGTAAGAAGTGGATAGATATTTAGTCCTGAAATTTAACAGTGAGCATCCACAACCTCATCAGGGATTGAACCCAGGACCTTCGGTCTTGCTGCACACACTTAACTTTCAGACTTTGCAGTAGGTATTCAACGGCTTACATGTCTAATAATAGAGAGAAATATTCATTCAATCCTCCTTGATTTCCAGTTTCAGTTTAAATAAAGTCAGTCCGTGATGTAAACTAAGAAATTACCTCATGATGTCAATTTTGACATCACGAATGTCAGTACTTAACCAACATAACTGATTAGTAAAGTCATATCAATTATCACAAATAATTAGCTTTTCATCAAAATTGATTGTGCCAATAATCTAAGTGGTTTACAACTAAACGATTTCATAAAATAAATGAAATCACTTCTTCATCATAATCGGATTCAAGGTGGAATAACAGCCTGTGAAATGTACATGAAAATTTTTTTCAGACGATAAATGCCTATGTGTTTTTGTAAAAACAGAGCTAATTTACAAACTGTTAATATAACATCATAATATACAATTTGTAGCGTTTATAAAACGTGATCGTGTGAATATAGGTTTTTGATCATACATATATAGTGTAATTTGATAACAATTAAGTTTCATTATCTAATTAACTGTTACATACTTGTTATTTGAAACTTGTTTTAAATTTTCTAAAATGTAAATGTAGAGAAATATGCCTGATGTATAACATGAAAGCTACGTTATAGGCACATTTAAGTTTTATATATGATAAATATTAAGTTTAGATATACTCATTCCAAACAATGTACAGATTGTGTATCTTCAGAAAGGTACAGAATTCCTAATTCAAATATCAAAATAATGAAAAAAAGAGGATTCCACAGATGTGATAAAATAACTAAGTAGGCTAACTAACAATATATTGAAATGAGATAATGCATTTTAAGCATGTTTAGGTCTTATCGCTTCAATCTAGGCTGTTTCACCTACTAACCTCTTTTATTTAATGGATATGAGATAAATTATATAGACATATAGAGTTAAACGATTCACCAGAGTTTTCAATACTTGTGTGGTTGGCTTAAAGGATTGAGCTTTTCTGTCCAGCCTGTAAAAAAACGAAGTCTAGTTCTCCTGAAAACTAATATAAAATCACCCTTATTACAGGGTATATTTATAATTATGAATAAAGTAATCGGTCCTATCAATGGTCATATGCTTGTTTCAGACAATAAACCACATGTGTAGAAGTACACACATTGAAATAGTGAAAGAAGATCAACTTGTAACTTTTATTCTTATTTTTTCTAATTTCAAAACATTTACTGTAGTATTTTTGACTTATGGAATAAAATTTAAAAAATTCCTTGTGTTTAACAAAATTAAACAGGTGAATTCATTAGAAAAATTAATCCATGACATAAATAAAACTACATTATCACTATGGATTTAAATAGTAATTGCGAGGATAACAATAAAATCATAATAATATTATGTTCATGTCAACGTGATTAGGGTTTGTAGTGAAAGTAAACTACAGAGCTAAACCGATAAGATCTGACAGATCAAATCTTAGATTGTTCATTGATATTCAAAAGTCATTGACGAATAACTTGGAAATTATCATGAGCTATGTAAGAAATCGGTGGCTACTTTAATGATAAGAAAAATAATGGTCATAACAAGAACAAGTAACAGAAAAAAAGTTGACCAACTGTTAAAATGACGAAATATTCATTAGTATTCCAGAGAAAAAATAGATTTAAAGTTCAGATGGTATATCAATAGGGTTTTATGGATTTTTCGGAGTAACTTGAAAGTCTTTGAAATTTAAATGCAGACAACTATTTGCATAAGTACTGAATAATATAAATCCAAAAAATTCTGTCGCTCTAGTCCTAACGTCAAGACTTGGTTCTTTTTTATAAGGAATAATTGTCATATCAGACAGAATTTGTGGGAGGTTGAGTTGTCAGAACTATCCTACGAGAAATTAATTATTACATTCTGAGATCGTATATTAATACTTTCCTGTTTCTAGACTGTTTAAACGATATTTAACAATTCGATCACACAGGCTCTAATAAAACGTAAGCACTCGTTTATTTTACGTTTATATCAATAATTCAACGTGTAAAGAATCATTAATCACGTTCATACTGTTTATTCGTTCTAATTTTATTACAAATTGTTCTATAACTAAACTCTGCTTTTTGATCAGCTGATAAGTCGCTCAAGGTCGCCTGTATAGTTTACTTCTATCTATTTATTTAGTAACACGGTATTTGTCAGGTAACAAAAATCAGAAAAATACTTGAACATATTCTGAATATGGTATAGCAAATAAGTAATGAGTATAGTAAAACGAACATCAATTTTCAAGATTTTTCAGTACGATAAAGAATGTTATATTAGTTCCTTTCCTATGTTATTTATACTGCTAAATCACTATCAAGGGGATAACATAAATGAGAAAGATTTGGATCTTACTCTTTGTTATACTAGCACAAAATTGTTTTCTTAGTCACACAAGGACAATCAACGAAATACATCATAAGAAATTAGCCAAAATATTTTTAAACTCAGTTGCTTTATGAAATTTTTCTACTATTACACAATTATTTTAGTCACTGAATCATAAAAATAACTAACGTAACTCAACCCAAATTGGCTTTCATTATTATATTTCACATCGAACATCATTTGGGATTGACTGTTAATTTGGTTAAGTATTTTGTCGTCAAGACAGAAATTAGCCTACGTGAAATTATTTTCCAGTGATCAGTAGTCATTTGTTGATAATGTATTTTGATCCAGTTAAAACATAAAATGGAATCTTAACATAATTGTTTATTATGACTTAGCGTATATATTCATTGAATTCTGAAATTATGAGGAAGAATACTTTTTTATCACTTTGTATGTTGATCTTTGTAGTATAATAGTGAATTGTAATTCGATATATCATGTAAAATGTTAAGCCTAAATGTGATCTGGTAGCACAATTTCGTGTTTAATCATAATTATGACTATGAAATAAAAAACCATGCAGTGATAACACTGTATTTAACTTACCCTAGTTTCAATGCTTACTGATTTAAATCTCACTATATTTATTTCATTTCAAACAATAATTTAATATTACCACGTTGCCTGACAAATGCATGGTTCAAATCCGGCCGCACAAATTTGTACTTAGTTACAGATTTACATATTAATTAAATAATAAACTAAGGACTGTTAAAGTGATTGTTTAACTAATTGTTATTTAAATCTTCCAGTGTCTCACATTTCTTTCTTCACAGATATACTCAAAAATCAATCTTCGAATCTCACAGGGGGCGAGGTCGTGGATGCGCACTGCCGAGGAGTCTCACGATAGGACGAAACGGCCGTCCAGTGCTTCCAGGTTTTCCATCGTGATCTAGCTTCAACCGACTCATGATCTTAACCATTGAAATTACTATAATATCCACAAAACCTCTTCTGAGAATAAATATGTAATGAGAAAGTATATTTTGAAATAAAGAAAGAGAATCATTTGTTTTCATCAGTATTTTATAGATTTATCTATAATTGATACAGGGTAGTAATCATTTATTAATTGGACATTAAATATAAAAAAACAAATTGTTCATAGGGTATTTTCTTTTATATATATGAGCAAATCAAATAATGAATAGAAAAATGTCATAGAAATGTATAAGAAAATTAATAAATAGTAATTAAAATAATCAAACAATATGTAAAATAAACTCGATTGTTTCTATGAACTAATAAGATGCTTCTATATTATGGTTTTCTTTTTTAGACGTTATCTGGAAATGAAAATATGTCAATATTAACGATTATTATATATCGAAAGAACATTCGAGAAAATAACTTTGTCTTCAAACACTATAGTTACAAATTCATAATCATAATGATAAAATGAACAATATAAGATATATGTATATAATCTATGATTGTGTTAGTTAGCTTTATATATTAGAAATGCGAAATATTAAGTCAATTGCGTTTTGAACACATAAAATAAACCATTAATGAAGTTGAAAGATTAGATAAAAATTGAGAAACAATGTGTGATCCAAATTGGTGTGTTATGGTTAAATCACGTGAATCCGATTTACTAAAGAGTAAATCAGAACACATACAAACAAAGAATATTATGTTTAATTAGATCTACTCTATATTATGGTAAGGTCTAAGTGAGCAAAATAAAATATCACAGTAACTGTGACAATCGCAATGACAAAACAATATGGATTACGAAAAAATAAATGTAGTCAGCATTCCTACTCTCTCTCTCTCTCCATATATATATAAGATATATTAGTTCAGTTTATGAAATACACTAATTAATAGAGAAGAACTGTAATGAAATCGAATTGTTTATTTTTAGAAGAAATATCATTCTTATTTATTTCAATACTGGGTTTAAGCAAACAAATAAACTTATGTTTCAGATTTGGTAAAAACCAAATAGGTTGATTCGAATAATCCATAAGTTGTGTTGATTAAGAAATTTAAATTTTCTTAATTCAGTTTACATATAAGTCAAAATCTAATTGAAGAATAAGAATTTAGATTTAATATTCGTTTTATGATGATATGAATTCTGTTTAAAGTGTAATATTTATCACTCTTATAAGAAACTGATAGAATTATCATGTATGGATGCATTCTTCCAAGTGAAAACAAGTGGTTATTGGCAGATACTCAGAAAAGAAATCATACTTACTTTTTTCTTTTCCTCTCCTTACTGTGCCAATATCCATAACCGAAGTAGATTGTGAAACCTAGTTATGAAAGTAAAGAAGAATATACGTCTGTAATTAACTCTAGAAAAATGGTGAAATATTTGTGCTAAAAGCTGAGAATGTACGTCATATGTTATCTTGTTGTGATAAATCTTTTTATTTCGAAAACGTTTTGTATAATTTGATAGTTTAAATTAGTGAGTTTATGTTATTTGATGATTTAAGCGTATTAACAGTAAAACATCATAGTAAAAATATGGATGAATCATGGAGAATGTACTATGAAATCACGATAAGTGCCCTTTTTTACATTTTTGCAATCCTATATTTTTAATACACCCAATTTATTCAGTTTTCGGTTCTTTAGGACATTATGCATTCAATAATTAACATTATGATCACATGGATTATGTGATCTAAACAGTTTTCTACGAGAAAATTGGTAAGACATCTCAAATATAAAAAACTTAACACACATTATTATATTGCATCTCTAAACTCATGTAATCTAGTGTGTCGCTGACGCTAAAATTTGATTTCGATGAAACATTCATTTAGGTTTGATAACAATTAGCTGTATTTCAGTACTAGAAAATGTGAAACCTGGAAGGAGGTGTGTAATTTCATTTTGTATCGATATAAACAGATGTAGAGAATTGACAAGATAAAAAGCAAAGGAACATGAATAACACTATTAACCGTAGTGGAAGACTAAATAGAAGAAAGATAATGCAAAGGTAAGTAAATTATATTAAACGCAAAGTAAGGAATGATGGTAGAAACAAAATTTAGAAGATAAGTAGTGAATGTATTTGTGGCACTGAAAATCAAGTAAAATCAACCACCATAAATTACGATGATATGGTATGAGAGAAAATTAGCATCTCTCGAACACAGTTCAAGTTAACTATTTGATTTGTACAGTACTAATTAAGTGTAAAACCTTGGTTTAAATTAGTTTCAGATAATCATTAGACCATTATAAGAACAGACATAATAAAATCTATTTTGACCAGTCTGATCCTATCGTGGTTATCGTAAAGTGATTTTGGTCCTTTCCTATAAACTACGATTATCAGTTATTGCAAACAGTCCCGCGGCCAGCTCCTGAACTTAAGTTGATATCTTAGTGTTGAACTATAGTTACTATAAACCTACGGGTCTGTTAATTATGTACTTAGTTAGCATCGTCCTTTTTAAATCAACTAAGAGTTGGAAACGGGATACCGATCTTTCATTCGTATCTATCATCTTGAAGAAACTGATACTTATTGTGGGATTTGGACCCGATTTACTTTACGTCAAGATTTTCAAAACGCTTCAGCAAAAATAATAAACTGATTACTTCCGACTAACTGAATATAAGACTAGTGGTTACTACTTTCTGCTAGAAGCAATAAATGACATGCCATGATTCTCACTTATTTCAATGGCCAAATGTTAATTCTTAATGTCGATTGGACTGATTTCACACTTTCCAGAAATTATTTAAAATCTTGAGTTGTTTCATACAAAAAATATTATTTGTGTGAATGTTCTTATAAGAATCGATAATTTCTCCAAGTTTAACAAGACAATTATTGATCGCAGTTAGACATTAACACCGTCGAATTTCGGCTCAGTGTTCCAGAGGTTAGGCGTTCGTTCGCGAGACTGAAGATCTTGGGTTCAAGTCCCGCATACGAGATCGTGGACGCACACTGCAGAAGGGTTCCCTACTAGAACAAGACGGCCGTTCAATGCTTTGAGGTTTTCACTAGTGGTTTTGCTTAGGTCGACTAATGAATTCAACGATTAAAAGTCATAATTTTGTTTGTAAGAAGGGAACGTATTCTGATATTCAAAATAAAAGTTTATCTCAAAATCATATGTATTCACTGAATCTATAAGCATAATGTATGTAAACAATGAAGTAAATAAAGTATGCTTACTCCTCTCAAATCTAAAGAATTTTCCCTCCCTCAGTAATCTCTTCATACTCGTGTGAATGAAAATATCAATAAGTTAGTAACCAGATGTTTGCTATCTTAAGAATATGATAATAGAAAAACATTCTAAATATATATCTTTACAATTTATGAGTAGGTTCAAGTGTTCAAAGACAGGTAAATTTATTAATCATTTATCAAATGATATGAGGCGTATATACCATTATATCTGTTTCGTTTGTGAATACACTTTCTTAGCCGAAACAAGCATTCTTCAGAGAACAGTGAAATCAAGGTAGCTATAAGTAGTCGACATTTTTGTCCCAGCTTAAAGGTTTACTTTAGTAAACATACATCGTTTACACTCATTTCTAATGAAACATTTTCACATTATGCAACAAATGGAATATTATTAACGATAAATGAGCTAACTCGTTCGAATGTGTTATCTGGTTGTTTTTTAGCTCAAATAGCTATTGATATTGGTTCATAGCTATTATTGATTAATTTCCTATTCCATTTGTCTAGATTTTAACTGAAAACTAACCAAATCCATAAAGATTGGTTAAGCAGGCTAACCAAAATGGTAAGGAAAGCAAGAAACTGGTTTAGAAACAACTCAAAACAAAGGAATCTTTGAATAATTTGGTAGTTAGAAGTTAAGTCAACACAAGTATTAATTAAAAGCATAAATTCATCAATTAGGGATTTGATTATAACCAACAGTTCATTTCCTATATAAAAATGTGTAAACCAGTTTCTTATTTTCTGAACAACGTGCATGGAACAGTTCTTGATGTTACACCAACTCATGGTTATTTAACTTTTTACTGAAGTATTTGCTTTAGGTAGGATTACTAAAAAATTAACCAGACATTTGATAGATTCTGAAAAATTTATTGAAAAAGTCCAGTCATCAATGCGATGTGTAACCAATCAGTCTTTCAAATATTACATGTTCGTCTCCCATGAAGAAGTGTTCTTTAGCCAGCAAAATCTGAATAAACACATCTATTGTCATTATTCATATGAATTATTTAAGGAGATATTTACATTAGAAAGAAAATTAGTTGAAATGTAGTCCTGAAAAAAAGTACTTACATGTCTCATCACGTATTACTGTCAAGTCTATCTATATTTTGAGATGTTTGGTCACAGATACTTGCTATTTAAGGTTTTGTGAAAGTTATTTGTGGCTTCCAGTATACAAAGAAAAAATAAGCATGATCCCGAATGACAAATATAGACATAAATGTGGTAAAATAAGAATTCTGACATTTTTTAAGGTTTTAACCATATTAAAAGGAAATATTTGTTTGTTATTTATTAGTTTTTGGTTCGTCGGTGAAAATAAACATCTTATCACTTGAATAAAAGGGTTAAATATTGTGATATATCATGAACTTTTTCATATGGACATGATCGTAAGCTATTAGATCAAATAATTTCCTTACTTAAACAAATCGACAAATATTCTTACCAATAATCATCCAGACTAAGAATCTAATCCATGTAGCCCCTGACAATTTAACCATTAAATATACATTGATAAATATACTAATAGCTGGAATCCATGGAACCCCAGGGACCTGTAAAAAAAGAATGTTGTTTGAAGTAATAGCCTCAATAAACCATTATTATTGGTGAGCGTTTTTGTTTTATGGGTGTTCCTAACTTTTTACAGCACTTGTCTCAAGTATTCTTATTAGACTCACACATTATTCTTACTCAGATTCATCACAAATATGTTGCAACAAGTTATTTCTGCAGTAAGATTTTACTAATCAAACAGCTGATTTTAATTTAACAGTGACGTCAATGAATAACGGTGTTATCATCAGTACTAAATAAATATAATATGAAAATCAGGCAAATCACCTTAGAGTCTCTCATAGTCTGTAAATATCCCCATATAATATGGAGCATTGCGTTTACATATACTTGTATGGATGAGGTATAAAGGCTATAACGTTAGAAGTATAGTAAGAATGAACATCTAATTGTCAAAACTAGTTTTTCGATTGAGATGAAAGAAAATATTTGCATAATACCTGCAGATATTAGTAACGAAATATCTAAATAAAAGTAATTAAAATACATTGCCCAGTTGTTCCTTAAACTTTGAAAGTAGGTACAAGAAGCAACAAGTTTTCTAACTAGCAGTTCTCAACAAAAATATTCTAAAGCACTTGTACTAAATAAAACTTAACAATAAAGGAAACTTTATACATGAGAATATAATACGTACTTTGAATGCCACAGGTGTTTTATTTTCTGGTTGTCGGGCTAATGCTGAACAAATGATAATACTGATCAGGATCATTAATCCAACAAACGTCCATATTGGGATTGTGACTATCATATTTTTTGTCACTTCTTCAGGTAGTTTATCTAACAGTAATATACCCAGATTGCCGAGAAAAATGAAGCAAACTAGAAAGTATGCGTTGAATACGTCGAAACAAAACAAAATAATAGATTTACATTAGAAAGTGATGTGGTTCATGATTGTTTTTAAAGATTAGGTAAATTTTTGTTAGTGATGGTGGTGTAGCCAAAATTGTACACTATGCCAAATCAGCTAGTAAGTTTGATTTCCAAATAGATTGTACAATTATTTCAGAAAATGACTTAGGATTCCCTAGCATTGAATTATCATTGGCCTGATGGAGTAGCACTTTTAAGAACCACTATATATTTTAGAAGCTATGAAAACTAATTAATTATACTCTAAATTTTAAATATCTTATATTTTAGGTTTACTGTTTGTAAAAAGTATATTTTCACACTAATATAGAAAGAAGTAAGAACTGACGTCAAATAAAATATTAGCTAGGCTCTTTGAAAACACAGAGTAAAAAAGTATGAATGGACGAAGTTATTTTTTAATTTATTATCTCTTTGAGTTAACTAAATTTACATTAAGAATAATTCTGAAATTAGATTCCGGAGGATTCATGTAGTCAGAGTTCAAGAACTGAGTTGCTAGTTTATACGCAATTTATTTTCATGAGACCGATAATACATTGTTCAGATATATATTTGAAAGTAGCGCGCAATGTACGGTCATTATAACTTACTCCCAACAGCAATCAAACTGTAAGACACACAATTATAAAAATGAATGTAAAACTTAAATTAATGATTTTATCGCAAATAAAAATTTTTTCTCTGAATCCTCTTTGAGTTTAATCAAAAGTATCAATTCATCTTGAACGCATTTAGGTTCCATATTGAGATAACTCGATGTTCCACAAAAATACCATTTCTCATGGACTTTCTAAAAGTCCCTTCCTCAGTATCAGTACTTTAAACTCATTATTCATGAACGAAGTTTTATTTGACATCTTAAGGAACCTCTCGGTTTACCTAATTGGTTTTACGTTTCTCTCCTTTAACCAAAGATGATAGATATTTACGATCGATATGCGCCAGAGCTTACTCAAAACATTGATGATAACGTCTTCAATATGTTTGTGGAACTTGTTATCAAAATATAAGTTAAATTGCAAAAGGGTAACACAAGACTAATTTCCTTGGATAAATTTTCGGAACACAGATGTCACATAAGAAGTTAACTTTCAATGTAAGTGAAACTTTTTTAAATGTTGGTACAACATTGAATGATATTATTTAAATTTCGAATACACTGATGATGGTTGTTAGATTAACAAATCAAAAATACTGAAACTATTGATTTAATTCATATGTATATGCAATCGTCCGTGCGTGCAAACTGAACATTAAGTAAAACAAAACGTACGCTTTGAATTTCACTATTAATATTTACTAAATACACTTTTATTATATATGGCTAATTAAGTGAAACGCTGCATAGCATATTAGCTAAGGTGAAAAACCAAACATTTACACATAATTTCAGTTATAATAAGAGCCTTTAGATATACGTCGTTAAAATAAGCGGTGTAAACTTTCTAGTATTGTTAGTAACTTGTAAAGATTATAATATTGTATTTTATAAGATCTACACCAACTGTTCGAACCCAATATTTGTTTCTTTTAATTGATAAAAACCATGATATGAAATGAGCATCCCTTTACCTTTCTATTAGTTAAAGAAATTATCACTCACGTAGTAAGTAACTATTTATTTTATAAATTAATTCGGTAGTTTGAGACGGTTTATCCTGACCAAGTTCACGCTTGAAACATCTTCGAAAATAAGTTGAAATGTCGAGATGAATATTATCAGGAAGTGGTGAATTGTTTGTTTGTTTTAAAGCCGTTGATAAACTAGAAAGACATGAGAGAAAAAGTGTTTATAGACTGAGAAAATAACCACTTCATAAAGTTCTCTAACGAAGTAATAACAATCACAAAACCTTAAACAAAATATACCTTGACCACGAATTCTAGGATGAGTGGTTATGAATTAAGAAGTTAATACAAGTCAAGTGAAGAGATTTCAGTCAGTTTCTCTACATGGCTCTACCCTAATATTCAGTCTTTACAATTTTATTTACAATCACTTCCAATCTTTAAGCGCGTTATATACTTATTCGTAGCCCATAAAATGATTAGCACCGAACTTTTACTTCAGCAAGCACGGAGTGATGAGGTATTTTTTGCTTGTTATATGCAACATATTTCTATGGATTCTTATTGAACACTATTTAGTAAATATTAAATTTCAACTTCGTAGATTGGTAAACGATCCATAAAACCTGTATGACATAATCACTTATGGCTTTTAATCATTTTTACTTTCCCGTTTAACATCCCTATAAAATGTTTTTGTTGGTCAGTCTGTCGGTCATTTGTCCTTTGATACGGCTTCATTTGTGGATAAAAGATGCATGAATTGATTTATGTAAGCAATCATCAGCCCATCATAATCTTATCAACTGATCAAACACCCACATATCTATACAAAATTGCTTCCTTATAGCAACTAGTGAGGTAACACTTTCTAAGTATATAATTACAGTTTACTTAGTAACAGAAGTGGAAAACATTATTGAGTGAACTCAGAAAACTAAAAAACCACTACAATAATGATAAATTCCTAAATGAAGTTTAACAAACACTGTATTATTATTTCTTTCCATTACGAACAATTACCCTAAAAAAACTACAGTTTATTAAGTGTTCAAAAAGAGACATTGTTTCATTTTCCAAGATTTAAACAAATATATCTCATTAAGTTCATATTTGGTAAGGGATAGAATCAACACGTAGTTCGTAAATAATTATTTAGTGCATAAAATGTTTGTTTTTGCGTAGTCGATCGTTAGTACATAGCTATAAGCTTCACGACTAGTAAGTTAATGTCTTTCAAAGGTTATGAGATTGTTAATGAAATGCGGAGTCTCGTTGATCAATTACCTAATATTAAATATTTCAGAGAGAAGAAAACTAATGTTTACTATTAGTTACTGTGATATGCAACATACTGTTTTAAACATTGTGAACTATTATAAACTAAATGTGATTGAAACTACTAAAAAAGAATTCAAATTCAGGGGTTAAAATGTTTTACATGTTAACCGATTAATCATTCTACCATCAGTAGTGAAAAATTCAATAAATGCATCTGATCATAGCTTATGATTAACGAGTATAATGATTGTGCATATAGGATTGTAATAAAAGTCAAATTAATCTTAAAACTAAAGATTTGATTGAGAATTAAATATGAAATTTGAAAATAATCAATTACCTTGGACTATCAACGTTATTTGAGGAAACAGAGGGTTTATTATGATCGGAATATTCATCAGGACCATTCGATGGTTCTTTATCATTACTAAGCGTATTGTCTGCTACTTCATTCAAAAACTTGAGTGGATATGATTTTTCACTAGTAATAAATTAAAATATATATAAAGATGAAAAGCTTTGTTTTATAATTTTAGTAGGATGTTCCGAAAACACGGACAAGTAAACTTATGCACTAATGTTAACTTTTGACTTAATGGTATACGGTGACTGTGATATTGAAAGGAATTTGTTTAAAGGAAATAAATAACTCAAATCCAAAATTTACATCTTTACATAATTGATTTTAATTTTAAGGAACAAACTATAATATCTGTGATTCTAAACATAGCTGCCTCTTTTATGTTTAACGAGTATATACTAGCAAATAAATGTTTTATACGCATTAAAATTCGTCCAGGATGTTTGTAAAAACTAATGTACTTTGTAAGAGTAAATAACTCCGACACGCTTTAGGTTTAAAATGGGATGGATTTCATGAGTTTTTTTAAATGATGATGATAATAAGTAAGAAATTCATAAGTGAATATGTACATATAAATGGTTGAAAGAATACGAATAAAAACGTAAATTTCCACAGGTTCTGCAAGGGATTTCTAAAAAGAAACTTTTTTTGATATAATGAGGAAAATTTGTGAAATATTATTACAGAATTAGTCTGTCAAAACTAAAGTCAAAATGACTAGAGAAAACGTTTCATAGATGAAATCTATAACACATATGGAATTTACTTAGAATTATGTTCAATACGCGTCGGACAATCGACATGTTTGAATAAAGCCGAGTTAAAATTTATCAGTGAGGAAACCTGTATAAAATAAACTCAATTTTAATCATGTAATATTTTTCCCAGTTTGATTGGCTCCATGAGCATACTCACACAAGGTAAAAATTATAAAAAAAATATTTCTCATGATGTTTAGTAGATTAATCAACTACTACTAAATAAATTAAATATAACAGCAATATAAACAATTAGTTTCTATGATAAGCAAGATGTAAGCCGTACAATCAGGTCTTAATTTGTTGAAGATTGAGCGACCTTCAAAGTTGATTTTCTATAATCGTTTATGACGCCTAATCGTCTTTCTTTTTTCTTCATTATTCTGTAAACAGGCGTGTTATTTTGTTCATTAAATAACATATTCTTCGGTCTGGTAATCTTGCTACTCATTAGTTCATTTGGGCGTTTAAATCGTTAATCCGGTCTTGTGAGCAACCAGCTTCCAGCCATATGGAAACCTACGCCGTCAAATCGATATTTAAAGTATCCGATCAAGAATTAATACAAAGTTTACAGACGTTCGTCGGATTTACTGAAGATTTGAGGAAATCAATCATATAAGACAGAATATGATTAAACCTATAGTACAGGTTTGACTTCCCACTAAATATTTTTAAAACTGTTAATATTAGTACATAGGTGATCTTATATTTTATTTACTTATATTATCGTCTTTAATCAATTTCCAGTTTACTAATTAGTGTACAAATGTCTTAATTAAAATTAATTAACAGTTTCTGGCCATCACATGACATCTACATTTTTGCCTATTTACAAAATGTATTGTGATAGTTAAACATTAAATATTCGGTGGGATTTTAAATAATTCTTAACATTCTAGAGGCTTACTCGGATAAGGGTAATTTATCACCTGGCCAACTTTCATCGTCCATCAATACTTCTGTATAATCTTTCGTGTCCCCGATGCGATATCCAATGGACATTTGTTGTCCTCTAAAATGTGAATTTTGTTAGAAAGGAAAACAGAATAGTTATAAGTAAATCTAAAGTCATTAGTTTACTTTATGTTTATTAAACATTTATGCTAAGAATGGATTTTTTACAATTTTCGCTAAATGGAGAATTACTCTAAACGGAAGTGTACTGGATCATTGATTTTTTCCCTTTTTAAGACTTAAATTATGTATCTAATGGAACCTATGGTCCTTAGACATCATGATGAATAAGGAATATGTAAACCACTAAACTAGACTATACTAGTCGGTGTTCTATAAAGTAAAACCCCAATCCTCTGATAACATTATCTAATTTAAATAAAAATTTCAGTAGATACAAACCAGATGAGTGTAAGACCTGAAAGTATGAAATATATCTAAAATTAGATTGCATTGTACATACTTCAAAGTTTACTCTATAGATACCTGAATATGATGGGACAGATATGAAAATTTTATTTCAAAAACAGTATCATTCGTTTTTGTTATTACTCATTTGTCTATTGTAGATAACAGTAATTTTAAGTTACAAACATTGTTTTATGTGTTACACAGCAGCAATGCTAGCAGTAAATATACGATATTAAATAAATAATTAAAGTAAACAGTAAGACGTCACATGTTATCGCGTGATACACACGCCAGTTGATTAGCCTTCCGTGAGAAAACTCATTTGTTTAAAAAAAAGCATAGTATTATGAGTAAGCTAAATCCTGTGTGTTCTGCATAAGTATGTTTGAGAAGTGATTTTATTTTATTCGATATAACGTGTCTCTTTCTCAACCTTAAAAAAAATGAAATAATTGAAACCTTCAAATTTAACTCTCACTCTAATAATAATAAACATTTTTGAGATATAAAATCCAACCTTGACATTAAGACCCAGAATCTCATTTTGATAGCTGCGATAGATATTTTGGTAAAATGCCATTATCTTTGTCTTTACTATCATAATACTTTATGGGATCTGTAAGATGTTTAAAAATGGCTGCTGAAGATAATGGATTGTATTAGTCGAACATATGTTGTTTGCATTCCGAATATATTTTTCAGGCACTTTCCCTCTATTAATATTGCTAATGCATAGAGGCCTCGACTACGTCTTGGGAATTTTATTTTACAAGGTTCTTGAGACCATTGAATATCTTTCATAAGAATTTCAATAGTTTTATACTAACTAAAAATATTTTTTAATATATGAGTATAAAAATAAAGGTAATAATTCGGACGCTTATACAAATAAATGTTTTGAACGATAAAGCATCAAATATTTCAAACCATCAAGTATACAACCAGAATTTAGTCAGTTTATGCAGGAATTATTTCATATAAAGTATAAGTTACCTCAAAAGAAGCACAGAAACAGATACTAGAGTATAAGCAAGAAGTGTTCCGATCGACATCATATCGACTAGATCTTGTAAACTGAATACTGCCGTCATTATGCCTGAAATTATCACATATATAAGTGGGTAGATTAGCATGATTTGTTAATAAGCCATTTATTAATAAGTTATTACTAAGAAAAGTTGAATAAGTAAAATTATAATTCTAAATGTCAAACATGTGATAAATCTGTATCAAAATGAGTCTTCAAATTATACGACTACTTATTGTCGTATAGAACTAAAGATGAGAAATTCAACTTATTGGTTATGATTTAAGCAATAATTAAACTACAAAAAATATGATCCGAGTTTACAACTGTCATTCATGACAGAAAGTATATCTATAATATTACGTAACAAGATATTCAGTCATATAAATTGGTTTTGTGGGGTTCCACAGATTTCCAAGATATACCATTTAAGCCTATTGATTAAAGCTGTGATATATATATGTGTATGCATAAACATGGATATTCAAAAATACTTACATCCAATAACACCTGATACGATAGTACCTAAAAGTGGAGTTTTAACTTTTGAATTTATTCGATTTAAAAAACCAAATAACAGCCCATCAGTTGCCATAGCATACAAAATGCGTGGCAATGGGAACATTGAACCTAAAAGGCTAAAAATATGTATAATTTACTAAATTAATTGAAATGTAAATGAAATTAAAAAGAATTATGTTAGTGCATAAATGATTTACATAAGTTTGACTAATTTTTTCATGATACTAGCAAACTCATAACAGTTAGAATCCAAGGTACTAGATGTTAAAAAGCAGTGAATTTCACATTTGTTATGATCATCAAATTAATACTTTTGAAACCTGATAAAGCCAATGTTATGTTTTTAGCTTATACAATTATCGCGAAATACGATTACCAATTTAGATACGCTAACTTATACGGTCAAACTAATGACGCATACACTAGTATGGGCAGCCTAGAGTTCCGATGATTCCCTTTGCTGCCTGACCCTACCTGTTGAGTCCACAACGCTAATCTCAGCCTCCGCGATACGAATCGTATATTTCATACATAATAGGTTTATATACAAGTAAAATCAAACCACATCACACCATAAAATAAAAAATAACATTTGTACAAGAACAAGCCCAAAGTGTCTGTGATTGTGCGGAACTTTGACTAATAGATTGAGAATAGTAAGTCATATAACAGTAACCAATAAGTCAAATAAAAGCCTATAACGAAAGGAATATGAATATATATAATACAGTTACTTAATGGTCATACAATAGAAACATTCGTAAAATATTAGTCCATTGACTTTTTCTCGTCCGGATATAATAGTTAAAATTCATTAAGTATTTTGTTATATCGGTTGATTTCAACCAACAAAAGCATATTAGTTTACGAAGATGGCTAAAATGTTGAATGAATGTATTTTAATAACTGGTTAATAAATGACTTCATTTAAATAAGGTTATTGTAAATGTATAATTTTCCCTAATTGTTACATTGAGAAAAGTTGTGAATTGGCTACTTTATGTTGATTTGCTAGTCCAATTTATTATAATCTAGTAGGAATAGAAAAATACACAAATTATTCTTGGGTTATTTGATTAGATTATTGAATAAAGCGTTAATTCCAACAGAGAAAATATGCAGATTTCAAGTTTTATTTACATAAGTAAATAAGTATTGTTTGGAAAAAAATTTTTTGCTTCGAAGTAATAATAAAGGATCATAAAAGAAAATATCGTGATGCGATTGTTAAGAACTTTCATTCAACCTGTAACTAGTAAAAATCATTTGACCGATTTACTAAGTAATGTGAGAAAATGAGTGCTGATGATCCCAATTATTATACAACAGACAATGACAATGATCGCATTATTCTATTCAAAATTATTATGGAAGTGAACAGTGTGACAATTATTAAATAGTTACATTTATTTTTTCACATTTGTTTTGTTTTATAAAACCCTAAATAATAGATTTGTAGAGCAATAAAATGATCCATTTACGTACAAAAATAATAATAGAAAAATAAATATGATGAAGTGCCATGAACATCATATTTGTAGGATATTTACTGTCCAATTCCCTAAGACTTTCCAGTTATGGAAATAAAAGAAACATTCATTTCAAAATGGAGAGAAGAAAATACAAAATTCAGTACAATCTTAATTCACGGTAAATAAGTTTGAAAGACTATGTACGTTCGTAGTATAATTTCCAAGTTGTTAAAACTATGCTAACTTTAGGTCTACCGCTTTATGCAATAAAGACAAACCAGTTAATAAGATGATGAACTACTACTAATAAACTTTGGTAAAATATGCGTCACATTTGAGTTGTTAATAACTGTTTAGTATATCATTTTTAATTACTTTATTGATAAACATTTGCAGTTTGTAAGTAGAATATATCATACTAGTTTAATAACTTATTTAATTGAAGTGAAATTTTAATAGTGTAAGCTTTATTGTCGAACTAGTAGCTTTGACAGTTAAATGACCGAAAAAAGATGTATTCACTTTTTATTTTGTTTGGAAAAATTAACGTCAAAATATCCTATTGTTTTCCACATTTCATTGTATATCTTCTCATATCTCTTATTGTATTGACAGGGAGAAATAGTAGTCTTATTCAACAATTTAATTAAATAGATGTTTCATTATCTATTCATTAACTAGAATATCGAATTGTTGATGGGGTCAGGTAGTAGGGGAATATATGGTATTCATTTTATTTCATTTAAGTATTATCTTATATACAAGTTAATGTGATTAGACAGGCTAGCAATAACCATCTGTCTCTTCTACAGTTTGACTATCACGCAATAGAATACTGATTTAGGATAATCTCTTCTGCATCATTAAAACAAAACATTCTAGGATATTGTAAAGATAAGCAGTTACCAGTATACATCGTATAAGAAGCTTCTAAACGAAATTAATTGCTTTGTTCAACTGAAAACAACCAAATTACTTTGACGAGTAAATCAGTTTATACCATTTATTGCATTTTTAATAAATATTCATGGACAATACACGGTTGAAAGGATAAGTTTATTTGAAAAGAGTAACTAACAAAGCTAAATATGGTGTTTATCGACTAAAACAGAACACTCAATTCAACAATAATAATATAAAATTATATATAAGTTTCATAAGCATTGCACTTACCAAAATGTAAACATTATAATGATATTTAATTAAAGTGCATGTTTGATAATAAAGTCATAAAAATGCTGATATTTTCACAGCCACCAAACAACGTTTTCATATATTAATTATTCTGGTAAAGCTATTTTTAACTCAGTTTAGTTTTCAGTCTACAGGTTGATGGATGTTTAAGCTGTAACAACCAAACGAAAATAGCAATGATTGTAGTCAAAGATTTTCAATGGCCTATGAAATACTGGTTGGAAAAGCTATGTAATTAGAGGCAACCTTAAGTGTATGCTATAAACGAAAGCTAAATTAAGTGCCTAATTCATGTCCAGAACCTCTTAATTAGTAACTAAAAGCTTTTACTAATTACAAACAAGGATATCGATTAACTGAATGTAAATAAAGCTACGGAAAATAATGTGTGATTTATATTCCGTATTCTCATGATAAAACAGTTTTGTTGTAAAATGTATCAGCGTTTAACAAATTTGTAGGTTTATTCAATCATTTTAGATAGATCTTCAGTCATGAGACAATATAGATTCAGTATCTTTTGTGAATCATAGGGATAATAAGTAACTGCAGTTTCTCAGTCTGGGACATTTTTGGGAACCCATGAATTTCAAAGGCAATGATCGTTTAGTTATAACCTGATAATTCATCGATAAAATAAGAAATGACACCGTTGTTTTCTCTGACTTGAATTTGATATAAATAGGATGACAGAACTAAGAATAGATGGTCTGCTGTTAATTTATTTCAAATACTTTCTCAGCAAATATCAACCCATAGCTGCAACATATTGTGGTCAAATCGATTCTTATTATTTCTGAAGTGTTATTACGTTAAAGCATTGTTAACAAACCTAGTAGTTAGAGCACACAAAGCCCCAGTGGAAATAATGTATTTTGCCCATTGTAAGCCATGGCGACTAAATGCAAGTGGTAGAGCAGCAACAGTAGAGATAGAGTAATATGGTACCATTAACGTAAGTGTAGCAGATATAAGACCATATGCCAAGAAACATATTAGCAGGCATCCGATAATACTTATAGGAATCGCTGTTTGTGGATTACGCACTTCCTCACCTTAGAAATAATAAAATAGGAAATTGAAAAAAGTAAACAAAACTTTATGTACAGTGTGTGATTAATAGAAGCTAGAACAAATAACTTGTTACTGTTTACCTAAATAAATTTAGAGCAGCATGCTCATAACTTAATATGTTACTATATTTCTTAAACGACTTATTTCTGGAGTTCCATTTTTCGCCGTTGACAAAATATTGTTCAAGTATCAAAAATGATAACATTTGGATGATTGCATAGAAAACAATATGTGAGAACAAAAAGAGTTCAATATTAAAAAAAACTAAGTCATATTAATACCTAAAAATCACCTCAATAAGATGGCAGTTTTTTATCAACAGTCTAATCAGAAAGACTTAAGCATTTAAAATGTCAGGCGTTAGGTTCGAGTCTCAGTCGAATTATCGCCAATTAATGAAATATATATTAAGCTTACCGATCAGAAACAAATAAAACAAAACAATGAATCTTGAATTCACCAAGTAATCACCAGTAAATACTGCAAAACTGAACAGATAATACAATTTAATCACGTGATATAAAGTTATTTGTTTTCAAAAAGTTAAAATTAGCAGATGATGAACCGGTAACTGTAGAGCTTGTTATCTTAATTAGCCTGGTAAAATCAAAACTTTTTGTTCCTATTAGACTTATTTTTGTCAGTAATTATGTATATCGTGAAGGTGCTGATTTTTTTCAATTGTGGCTTAACGATTACCTAAATATGATTGATAATTGTAATTGATTTCGGATAACTTATTTTGGTAGATCAAGTTTTTTTAAGATTTACTTTTTATCATTAAATTTTGATCTATTAAACTTACTAAAGCTTATAACTATCAAGTTCTTTTATTCTGACAACAACTAAAAGTGTTTGTAATTTTTATCCAAATATTTTAAGATCATTGTCACCTGTGAATTGAAATTTATCATGCACGATTGTAGTAGTAAGATGAACATTCGAGCAAACAAAATTCATATTTTTTTCTTTTGATCATTCTTCATATTTAGAAATATGCTTAACAGTACTTCTCTTTTAGGTTCATAAAAGGTCTAATTTATACAATTAACGATACAGACTATTCTATATTCACTTTTCAAGGAATTAGAACTTCACGTAGTATGTAAAATAACACTACAAAGTGAACTTACAACTTGAGCGTTGTTAAGAAATTCATAAATTAACCCTTAAAATCTTTCATTTTATATAAATACTAGTCCAAGACATAAATAATAATTAAAGTAACTACCTGTTGTAGCAATAATATCGAATCCGACAAATGCAAAAAAACATGTCCCAGCACCGGAAAGTACGCCGTTCAAACCAAAAGGAAAAAACCCGCCATTTCCTAAATCCGTACGTTTTACAGTATTATTGATAAGAACCTGATAATCCAAAAAGCGTTTGAATAATTTGAACAATAACTTCAGAAATATGATTGTCAATTTTTTAAATAAAAATACTGTATTATTCTTTTTAGCTTTTACATTTAATAGATGCTCATGAATCCAAACGCAGTTAGGATTTATAATTGGCCATCACTTAAGGACTCTAGGAAGTATATTAATGGTGTGATAGACAAGTGAGTAACTTTAAGATTGATTGAATTTCGGACTACATTAATATCAATGTTTACTTTGAGAATGAAATTCTGGGCTAATAATACAGCCTGAATGTCAAAATAATTATCTCTCAACATTTAAACTAAATTTATATATCCCCTATGGTTATTGAACTTTAGTTTTGGACATTTACGACTTACTGCAAACATTTTTTCATCAATTTTCTTTTTCAAAGGAACTTTTTCAGTGTCGAATCGTAGATTTCATTTAAAATAAATGTAATGAATGTCACTTATAATTTTCTGGTCTCCAAACTGTCGTTTTTTCAATACTGTTAAAATTCAGAGTAACTAGAAGTCTCTAATGAGATATTAAGCTATGGTTTACTCTATTTAGTTTATTTAAGACAAATTGATCACAAATTAATTGTTAATATATTAATGAAATGGTTTACAGTATCATATCTTTTTAAATTATACATTGTTTACTAAAATAGTGTTTATTTCAGCTTTCTGCATCAGTCTAAAAAGATTCTTTTACGTATAAAAACCATTGTTAATATATAACAAAACGTGGTTAGTAACTAGTTGTTACTTAACTGGTATTCAAACACATCAAATATCTTTCTTCAATCAATAGTCTTACTAAGGATATTATTGCTAAACAATCTGAAGATTTCGAATAGATTCTCAGAATTAGCCAACTATCGGGACATTAAATGACCCCAGAGGTTTTCCCTTTCATCTTCAGCTTAGAGATACAATTCCGTCAGTTGTACGATAAAGCGAATATTCACACTGCTAACTGACATCTTTTGATTAACATGAAATAATGATATTAATGAAAGTGAAATATAACGAAAAGCAGTACTGAATTACTTCCCGTTTTTCACGCAATAGTTATTTCAAATAGTTAAAAAAAACCTAGAATATGAATAGATTTAACGAAGGAAATATAATTTTCAGCCAATTCAAAGAAACACACTTACATTTTCTGGAATAACTTTCCAGTTATCAATATTTGCATAAATCAACCCAGTTACAACTACAAATATGATGACACACAAGTTGACTATTGTGAACACATTGTTAATCATTGCGGATTCTCGTACACCGATGCTTAAAAGAACTGAAATATATATATTAAATGAAAAGTGGTGGATAGAAGACAGTTCTTCGTTGGGGGAAATAAAATAGTAGAAAAATCGGCGAGACTATAATCTGTGGACGAACCAATCAGATTTAGGATAACAAGTTTTGGATTTTGGAACGAAATTCGTCCATCCATTTGGCTGAATAGCATTTTGGCATTTTAACTGATGTCAGCTCGCGATGAAAATCCTAACTCTAAATCCTAATTTTAACCATCAACTATAAATCATAATCGTTATTATTCACACATGTTTATAGTAATCTTCAGTGCATCGACAACTTTACTTATTTTGGAAGTCTGATCAGCCCTAATGGGTTGGTGTCTGATGAAATCTCTGCGCGGATTCAAAAAGCTCGCTAGCTTTTGTCAACTTACGTCACTTCTGGTGAAAGCGAGATATACGTCTATCAATTAAGGGATGAGTGGACTGCTCGGCAGTTCGTTCTGTTCTACTTTACGGCTGCGGAACGTGGCCAATAAGAGTAGAAGATACTCGTAAGCTATTAGCATTTGAGCACAGATGTCTTAGAAATATTGCTCACATCTACTGAGATCATCGGGTAGGCAATAGGGAGGTTAGACGCAGGGTATGGGGAAATGATGGTAAATCAGTTGATGAGGTTGTAAATCTTCATCGACTGACATGGTTGGGCCACATGTTACTTATGCCTGAACACCGATTACCACGACGCGCAATGCTGACAAATGGTGGGGACAGTTGGAAGAAAGTTAGGGGCAGCCAAACCAAAACACGAGATCAGTCTTTGAAGTCACTAGCTTCTGGTTTGAGCCATGTTGATAGATACAGACTACTTGGTTGGCGTATACAGTCTTTGTCATCCCTTAAACCGTAAGATTAAAATTGCTGTATATCTTTCTTTCTATGAACTAGTTCTTTCTTCCCGTACTGCATTCTTATATACAATCTGGTTCTATGAATTCGGTGTTCATCTTGTTGTGCTAATGAACTGTAGCAACTTGGACCGATGCATATATGTGCCTGGTTCTACGTTGTAGCTGCCTAACTAGCTGATACACATTTACAAACCTCATTTAGCCCTAGTAAGTAGGTAGACATTCTCAAGGTCGCTTTGGCGTTGCTCAAAGGTCGTCCATAAATTATAATCTCACCGAAAAATCTTCTGAGATATTTTCTCAGTTACAAAAACATTATCTCAGAGTAGTAATCTAAATATCAGTTGAGAGCAGAAACCTAAAAGTTGTTCCAAAATTCGTAGAACAGTCCCCGGTTACCCAACAAGGTACTAGGCTCATTATTTGCGGCAAAACCCCCACAAATAGTTTCCTGTCAGATAAGAATGACTGGTCAAGTAATTAACTATCAGTTTTGAGATCCTATGAGGTTTTAAAAACGTAAAACGTGTAAAATACGTGACTGGAAGTAGGATTATTATTCCAGTACTTGGATTGCAGTCCTATATATCAGTGGTAAGATACAATCAATTAAACTTCACCCCATTGCATAAACCAGTAGCCAAATGGACTCAGTGGCCAAGTGGATAGCGTCTGGAGAGAATGGTAATGGGGTCGAGTCTTGGGTAGAACATCAACTCTGGGATGTAAGTAGGTCCAGCTAACGAGTCTCGAATAAAACAAAACGCTCTTCCTGGATTTCACTGCTAGCTACCATCTACCTCTGCTTATAGTGCTTGCAACTTAATGACAATACCGAACCAATCTCCACAGGATGCACATGTCTCTAAAGAGACTGATTAATTGAAGTCTTCAACATTGATGGGAAGATTCAAACAACCAATACAAATGAAGTAGGATTGTATGAACTTTGATTTTCAAAGACAACCGTTTTGAGAAATGATAACTTGATTCGTTTAGATTAATAAGAAAGAATTTCCATTTATTGGTAGTGCAGAACAGTTTCAACTGAAACTTTTAATTTATTAGGTGAAAGTCAGTGCGATAGTTAACCTTGCTTCGCTCAAACGACTAGTGAAGTCTACTAAATAGAAGACCCGAATTCACCGTTTACAGTAATCAGATGTCATATTTTAATATTATTTCTCATAAGTGTAACTGAACAATCAAAATTATGACAATCGTAGAGCAAATGTTCTTACTTGTCATTAAAATAATTAAGCCAACAGCAAGTGGATCTACATATTCAGCTAAACCAGGAAGATTTAATGCCAAATGCTTTTTAAAAAATTCTTCTATTTGGCCGTTGAGTATACCATCGAAATTAGAGCTCCAAGCTCGTGCAACACTTGCGATACCTAAGGTAAGAAAATTATTATTTCAAATTTAGATGAGTTTATATATGTTTAGTTTTCAATACACGTTTTTGGTGTAGTGACTGATTATCATAACAGCTTCATAATAACTAATTTTATTGCAGATAAAAAATTTTAAACTATCAGTTTTCCCTCATATTTCTGACAACACTTCTGAATAACATGGGGTTACGGAAATAACTTTGCGTTTGTGGACGAAAGTTATGTTTAATCGTTTAATCGTTTGACTCTCAATACCCTTATAATTTGCTCAATCTTGCTTGAAATAATAGCCTGATTTAAATTACAGTGAAAGTGTTATGAAAAATATGAAAGGAAGAAAACAGTTCAAATAAGTTAAACCAAGTTATGGTTTCCGTTTTATTAGAGTTTTGTCTCATTATTCATATGAAAGATAAAAGACAACATCGGGACCACCACGGACAATGACTTATAACCCTAAAGAAATAATAAGTATTCTTAACTGAGTTGTCTGAGATTTAGCAAACGCAAAACACAAATGCGCATGACCAGGAGTTGTTAACCAGATACTTTATAGCCAAATTAATATAGTGATGATCCTAATGAAGGGTATATTTGGCATGTGCCGTTGTATGTTTTGTTAGAAAAAAAAGTTTTATGTACAATAGCATCATTGTTGTTCATACAACTATTCTAATCAGCGAAACTCTGGTTGCTACCGGAAATTCACACCTACGTTCAAATACAGATATAACAATTTTTAGTCCAAAGCCATGTTAGATAGAATGAAAAGTAGTCGTAACAGAAATAAATACATCAATTTTGTTCATGATAACTGTTATGTTATTCCGACACAGAGTAGGATTACCACATGTGCTGAGTTCACTCATTTCACTGTAGGTGCTAACGAGGGGTTTCGAGTTATTCTCCGTGCCTATTCTTATTACGATTATTACGCAATCAGTTAAGGAGAGTTTATTTAACCCTGATTTAGTAAAATGTTGGACAGAACCTCTTGCAACTAATATGCATACTATTCTATGTATCTTTAACAGGAATGTTATCGTGATTCTCTATCTATAGTTTGTTATATCCTAAAATCCAGAGAGTAAAACCTAGCATCATGCTCATGTTCCATTTTACTCAACTTAAGTATATATTACTGTTCAGATTTCTAGGAGACAACTGTTTTCACATATCTTCGTTCGGTTGAAGTATGGTACCATTAACATCCGATTTATGCAAAACAAATATTTATGTGATGCTTCATGTCACGAGAGCTTGTATTGTAAAACGGATGTTATCATACCAAGAAACGTAGTCATTATAGAAAACTGACTTGAATAACTTAGGCGTAACTCATATGCTCTAATTCCTCGGGCGTAAAGTGAACCATTATTTGTGAAATTTTGCAATAAACTCCGGGTAATCTGGTAACTACACATAACCGTAATTGATAGAATGCTACTCACGTTAAGTGCTTGTTTATACGTCCTGACTACCCACGTGATGATCAGACGAAGTAGCTATTAGGGCTCACAACCATTGAGAATAATGTACCTGACATAAAATATTTGCATTTTCGATATCATTTACTACAAACCTATCATACACAGTTACAATTTTTTTAAGTACATGACTAGTATTGATTTTAAATTTTTGTTACAACTTCTATTATTCTTCACCTCTCCTATCTATTTAGATTACTGTTTCGTTATGATACTACTGTACATGTAATTCCTATTTTTGGAGCAAAGAAAAATAAATATTTGAAAAGCATCCACGGTAATTTCACAAGTTACTATATGAACATACCGATTACATATTCTAGTATCAGATTCCAACCAATTGTAAACGCCATTATTTCTCCAACAGTAATGTAGCTATATACATAAGCTGATCCACTTTGTGGCACACGGGCTCCAAACTCGGCATAACATAATCCTTAGCAAGAGGGGAAGAATACTCGATTAATTTTTCGTCAAACTTAAGCTACTTTACTCAGGAAAGTTGAAAACTTTGACGCATAAAAGGATCTTTCCTCATTAAAAGTTTGTTTGAATATTACTTCAACAACGTATATTCTGCCTGAAACGGTATTTTCAGGAATCTGTTTAGCTTCCATTTCAGTAGTAAAAAAATCTAAATGAATTTTTCAATATAAACATTTATGTCCATTATCCTGTTTATATAATAACACAATACTTCATATGATAAACACATGACGTAAATTGGATTTTCAGAGAATTAAAAAAGAGTGAAAATATTATATGATACGGCACAAACCTTGCGTGAAATGCTTAGTAAGTGATTAATCAGACACTGCATTTCACGATTCCACTGGTATTTTGATGACTGTGGAGCACCTTCTGATTACTAAATTTTGTGTACTGCACTCTGCAGTCGTCTTATATTGTACATTTTCTACCAGTCAACAGTGATATTATACACACCAGATGGCTGACGAGAATGTCGGAGTCAGTGGTTCTGTTTTTGACTATTACGCTGGAAAACTCGAGTTTGAAATTTATCCGGAGTTCATGTTTTTTTTAATCTCGACGCTAAAGAATTTACGTTGGTAATCAACTGAACCTCATCAACTCTGTTGACATGCTTTTTTATTTATGCTACCAAACTACACAAACATTTGAAAACTAGATGTCCTCAACGATTATATCATGATGATACAAATACCCTAAAAATTAAGGTTTATCGGCAGCACAACTGATTGATAGTTTGTGGATTGTATTTTTATAATTATGATTGTTTCGCATGAGTCAACTATGTCATATTTTTACTTTATTTGTTTAATACACCTAAATGTTTCTCAAGGACAGAGGAAGGTTGCTCTCACGCCTGAGTTGAAAGCCCTACATTTTAAAGACAGACTAATTTCACAACGGCGGCAAAGACAGACAAGATGTACATAAAGCTATCTGGTCTCCACTGTATATAGATCACTTTTAAAGGACACACCACCACTAGCACCCACAAAATCATTTGTATGCATAATCTTTCTTACTACTTCTAGCAAGTCACCACAAAGAGCACCGGCACAGGAATCTTCCAATCTTTTAAAAGTACTTCGCATTTAAAAGGTGAAAAGTACATATTATAACGACGGAAACGGTTGTCAACAGGTTAAGCGCGGACTATGCAGCCTGAGTACCGTGGCACAGTAAGACAGTCGACCACAAATGTTTTCAATCCTCTTGCAAAATGCAAACATTTTTCATTTAGCGATCTCCCTTTTTCATCAAACCCATCGAGTTAAACGGTTTTGTTCGACATAAAAACAACGGCAAGCGTTTTCCACTTTGCTGGTCCAGATTGTGAACTATACAAGTCCTTATCGTTGGTGCTAGTTTTCTACACTTGCAAACTTTTGTACATCTGCTGAATCAATTTTCCATATTTTTAGTTTTTTGCTTTGAAAGTTCGATTATACGAAAGCCAGTTTCTATTTACTTAGAAATCGTGGGACGGTATATACGCTTTAAGCAACTCAACTTAACTGAGTTTATGAAGGTTACCTGAGTTGTCGGTCTACTACGGTTTTAATTACGATTCGCAAGATTAAGGTGTAGTTTTATCAGATCCAAATAACAATCGTGAAAAGATGATAATCTGTGTTCATTTTGATGGCATTTCATAGTATCTAAGTACTGAATACAAGCTAAAGTATTCACTGACGAGGAAAAAATTGAAATCCAACACCTTGGCACTTATTATTCTAAGACAGCTACAAAGTTTTACTGGCAAAATTTTGGTAAGTTCAATGCCAGATGTAAAAGCAGGACAAACGTGCTTACAGATTTTATCGAAACTCATTATCAAATGTTATTCAAATTTGATTCATACAAAGGACGTTCACACTAGTAAGCGTTTACACAAAGATTATTAATTATATAGAAGTCTCAAACGACAGTCAGAGAAGATATTCAGTGGATTTATTTCAAAGTGAACCTCTGACCGGCACTTTTGCCAACAGTGTTTATTTTCATTTCTAGACAAAACAGTTCTAAAGTTGGCTTTCTTTCTACATACAATCGTTTGCTTTAAAATACTTGTAAATTCATGTTATCACTAACAGTCTGCTCACCTAATGAAAATAATAACTTGTGTTTATCTATACAACAACCACTTTACTATATTTTAAGATATACTGTAGGCAATTACCCGGTGGTTTTCAAAACTCAAGAAAGTTGTTAAGTTTTCGGCAGTCATACCGTGAATAGTGGGCATCACATTTAGTATTTTAACTAACTTTTCATGGCTTGGTCACACAAAATATGCTTTCCAAAACTGATTTTACAAAATACAACTGATTCTTGTCGGAAATGTTTGTTTATAACGAACGATATAAAGGACAATTTAAACTGTACTTCTCGTGAAACTTGGTTATATTTAAAATCTCAAAGGGTTGATCTAAAGTAACTCTTTTCCATCAAGTGATGATATTGAATGACAAAAAGGTAAACATGTTGCTATTAATAGAACTGTTACCCTCTCCTGTATTATATTTGATAGCGCAGAAAGAACACTGTGAAGTAGTTAGTCATATGATGATCTACCAGTTACATGCAGCATGATATAAAGTACTTTGTTCCTATGAGCTTACTGTGAAATAAACCGATTTAAGGCAATTACCGAGATTATGCCCGATATTTGCCGATATTATAAGTAAACTGAACACGCACAAAGAAAAAAGGCGTTTATCCTTTGATAAGATACAAAATATCTGTTAGGTAAATGCCCATATTATTTGGGAATCTACTTATAAAATGTTGCCCTACTTAGCATATGCTTTAGAAATTAACATAGCCTTGTGAACAATTGAAAACGCAACGTAAGAAATGTGATAAGTATGCAATTTTTGATAGTCAATTTTTATACAGAAATCTTGGGCGTATAATGTTTGACACTACCGATGACATAATAGTTGGTATAAGTTGAAGGCATTAAGAATGTAAGTATTGGTTAGAAGTTTGCTATCATATACAAAGTAACAACTGTGCTTTAATCACATTTGAAGAGCGAGAAGTACAGAAAACATCATGTGCAAAAAAAAGCCTAGAAAATTTGGTTTAAACTTGAAACAACTGTAATAAGTAATATTACTAAGCCGACCAAGTCATATCAGCTTGTCATATAGTTGTACCGAATTCTTATAGTTCTCACCAGTATAAAGTAAAACGTCATGAAACCGTGTGGGTATAACGTGTGTTTTCTATGAAATCTAAGCATGTTTACAAGCCTGGCCTTTATATCATCGTCTTACTACCAGCTCTTAAATAAAGCGGATAGCATATCCCCACACGCTGTTTGTCATTTCGATGACTTACTTTAAGTGAAGAAGATCTCAGCGGTTTCGCTCACAACAACAGTGATAACAAAAAATTCAAATTAGTGATTGTACGGTAAATGGGGCAGACTTGAATACCATAATCTTTCGCAGTAATTCCTTAAGATTAGGCATATTTTAGCTGGCAGGTTACCTTATCGGTTAGTTTCAAAAGATGACCATAACCCTATTTAAAACGTCCTCATTCCAGTTATACATTATTAAATCAATATGACTATAGTCTAGTAAATGCTGAATTATTGTTTTGTTAGTTAGGTGACAAGAACACATAATCACTACCGACAAATGTCAAACTTTTTGTTCACCAATCTATGTGAAGTCAAAGTTTTAACAATATAGTTTTATTTGGCAAAGCCATCATAGGTTTAACTACAATACTACAGCAAAAGCGGTCTATGAGTAACGAAAACCGATGTTTCGTTTGCGTTCACAACAAATCCTGTATTGTACTGTTGGTTAAACATCAGATGAGCAGCAAATAACTACTTAAACTTATAAACTTATTGTGAAATTAATTTAGAAAGACCAATTTCTCTTACCTGACATACGACAAATGCTTTAAGCAACTGCTTATGAAGGTTTAAATCCTATAAAATAAAAAAACATCTAGAACTTTCAACAGATAGTGATTTTACCACTTATAAAGTATATGTATTACTCAGTGAACACCAGATTTTCCGTTTCAAAGACACTATATAATATAGACAGTGAGAATGTCATTTCACATAATTCAAAGTATCACTGACAATTCTTTGATTAAGACACTTAAAAAGATACAAACTTGAGTAGGGTTGATTTAAGACAAACCTCCGAATTCTGGAGAAAGTAATTATTGGTTTCCGCAGCTTACATGCTCTATTCATTGAATAATGCTTGTATTATTTATCCGTAGTGGACAGACTTTTTTGAAACGATGATATAAAGTTAAGTAAATCCCAACAAATCGCCTTCATAATGACTGAGAAAATAAATAACCTAGAGGTGTTTATTCGAATATCCCAAAAATTTAAACCTATCTCAAAATAATTTGCTATGAAGTCTAAAAATCAGGCATGATGTGACATTAAAGGCAAAAATCCATTTAATGACTTTTAAAAGTAAAAGGCAAAAGTTAAACATGAACATTCTAGAGCATATTTTAAAGAACGCGAAAGAATAATATCATCATGGGTGTTCATCAATTACGGGGGGAAATTACCTGATAGAACAGAAGCCACCGCTGCGATCAAAAAAGATATTATAACACCAGGACCAGCTGTGAACTTGGCAACGTCGCCAACAAGAATATACACTCCAGCACCTAAAGTTGTGCCAACTCCTATGATGAAAGTATGTTTCAGAAATTGTACATAATACCTAAGGCAGTTAGATCAAAGATAGTTAGACATCTTCGTAACTCGACCTTTGGAGACTCCCTTTTGCCAATCACCTTTTTTCTGTTTAGGCTTATAAAAAAGTCTTTTGTTTTTCGACCACATGAACTCATTACAGCAAATTAAAAATGCGCCGTATCCGTAGTCTAAACTAACTATGAGGATGAATTATTTTAATGCTCAATTCTAATCGAAAAGATTCAAGAAACTAATAACGTTTTTCTTCAATGCGGAAAGTCTAGATTATGTCTTGTTTAATTAAAAAAGGTACAAATTGATGACTAAGACCTCAAAACAGGGAGGAACAAGGAATGTAAACTGTCATATGAGAGAAGAAAACTAGACATTTAAAGGCGATATGACGAGTATTCGATTTAATGATATCAGCCTTCCTATTTTTCCTTTCCCTTCAGGATTGCAGGTAGACGCTTGCAGTTCGGTTATCTCCGCAATGTATATCCCATTCACTTCCAATATCAGATGTAAGCCTGTTTATTCTCTCCCAAGGTAAGTTGTTGCTGGTGGTTTCCGGCCAAAGGATATTGAATATCATGCGTAGTTCTCCAAATTTCAGCTCAATACGGTAGAAGAGTTTCACTTTGATACTGGTTGACAGTTGTTTCGAGTTTCATATACTCTTCAATAGTAGGAATGCGGCTCTTTACTTTGCCAATTCTCGTCTCTATGTTTGGATCCGATCATCCTTGTTCATCGATGATGTTTCCCAGGCACATGAAAAATTCCATCTCTTCCATAGTTTCGCCATCAAGTGTGATTGGGTTGGTGTTCCTCGTGTTGTATTTCAGGATCTAACTTTTCCCTTGTGTATGTTGAGGCCTACTGATGCAGAGGCTGTTTCTACACTAGTTGTCTTCATCTGTATTTTTCTGTGTGCATAGGATAGTAGGGTAAGTTAATCCTAAGTCACTGAAACCATACTGTCCAATTTCACGAATCTCATACATTTATGTAACTATTTTCAAAATACGAGTTTGAAAAATGATTCAGTTTATCTCTCTCCGGATCTTTTTCTCATCTACAGTTTTTGATACTTTTTGCGGGCAGTTGTTCGTCTCTTATTAGTTTTATTTATGATTTCCGTTGAATATACTGTCAAAGTCTTGTGATAAAGAGTCTGGTAATAGACATAACCAAATTCTCAAATAAAGATAAAGCCGATAACGTTCAGTAAGTTTGCTCCGAATCTTTATTTATAGATCTTCTTAGTATTGCTGATGCCTTATTATTCGAGACTGGTGGTTTTATTTTATCTGGCACTAGCTCATTTTTCCAGCCAAGTCAAATGCGTAAATTTAGATGAGTCCACATGTAAATCACTCCCACGTCCAAGTTCCTTTCTTGTTTCTTTTGCCGTATTCTTTTACATTGTATTCTTTATATTACAATTAAACAGAGACTTACCCAACAATCAATAATAAATATAACAGGTACCGTTTGTTAGATAGTTCTGACAGAAGGAAAAAATCACATTTGGATTTGTATATCTATTGAATAATGCTAAAATATGTATGATGTCCTGGCAACAACCCATAATAGAAGGACAGAATGATGTTTACGATCGGGTGAAGTGGGCATAGGATAATTGGACTTAACTCAAACTAATGCAAAGATTCCACAACGTCTTTACACGTGGCACCTTCATAGTCGAAGTATACCAACCTAGTCAAATCAGAAGTCAGAAACGAAGTGGTTCGAAGATATATTTGGAAGGCTATTGATATGTCGAAAGGTGTATGGTCCAATTTGGCTAGCATTTGCGGGGAATGCGTAGAACAGAATACCCACTCATGATCTGGTGCGAACGCGTGACCAAGAGCCTTCAGCTAAATGTATCCAGTGAAACTAACGAGGTTAGCATCAACGTTGAGGACTTACAGAACTGCTTAATTCGGGGATTTATTTATCGCTACAAATGTTGGTCCATTTATCAAATACTACTACGAAACAGTTTGCAAAATATGTTGCATAATATTTTAATCTCTGTTATTAGTGCACTAATATTAGTTCACAATTAAGACAAGCCAAGATTCTGTGATGATGAACAAGCAAGTGCTCAAAATAACTACAATAAATTGTTCTAAATCTTTCAATGATAAAAGGGCAATTATAGTAAAGACTGTAATAAGTTATAAGTTCAGTGAACCTTTTTTATTTAGTGACAAAAGTGAGTAACTTTCATTTGGGTTGCATGATGATTTGAATTTTGACTGCAAGTCACGTATTTTCTCGCCTAAATTCTTACCAGAATAATGTTGGTGAACCTTTACCGTAGGTTGAAGGCCAAACTAAGCATAACAACTTACATTTTTATCAGTGTGACGACGTGAAGATTGTTAATATTTTGATTGAGATCATGAATCAATGAATGTTAGACCACCATTGGAAACCTGGAAGCACTGCTTTCCATACTAGGACGAAATGGCCATCCAGGGCTTACAGGTTTCCAATGGTAGTCTAACACTCATCGATTCATGATCTCCATCAAAAACTCACTTTTTCCTGAAAATCCATTGCTTCCAGCACAGCAAAAACAACTTGACAGTTAAACAAACAATAATGTTGCTCAGTACTTCATAGTAATGAAACCTAAATCAACTGGCTATTGGACTGTAACAAGTATCAAAGTTGTCTAGCTCTGATAATCATTGAATTCTATCCATCTTCTTTCAGTGTGGCTACGAGTATAAGTGAATCAGTGTCGCACAATACATACTACAACTTTATGTGACTGAAGTAATTAACACAAAGCTCAGAATCTCTGTTCGTCGGTAGATTAAATTCTTCAACTTGGTGTATTTGCAATTTTAAGGGAGTTGGTTCATCACCTAAGATTCTAATTCTTGTCACCTAGCTTCACAGTGCTAAGCGAAATCTACACACTTAAAGTGATATATCATCAGCACATCTAACAAATAAACTGTTCCAGCTTTCAAATCAATATGACTGTTCACAAGAGCAAATATATTTAAACAGTCTAAAATGCCATAAATGATATTAATAAAGCACTACAGATAGTGAAGTGTTTCTGGTTCAGTAGCCGCGAAGTAGTTATATCTGATATACGAGTATACAGTAAAATCTCAGAAGATGTTTTGTGGAGACTGTAATAATTTAAATAAATGAGATCATGAGCCAAGTGAATTTAAACCACCATGGAACACCTGGAAGCACTGTACGACCGTCTTGTTCTTTTGTGGGACTCCTCAGCCGTCCAGTGCTTCCAGGTTTTCCATGGTGGTCCAGCTTTAATCTACTCATGATCTCAACTATTGAAAATTAAGTAAAGTCATTAAAACTGATAATCCACTGAATTAAAACAGTTTAATTATTGAGTAAAATGAAGTATCCACGTTAACTAGAAAGACACTGTGGCGTTTGAATGAGCTAATGATATCTTTGTTTATTGTTGAATGCTTGATTTCGAATTCTAAATACAGTACATTCGTTTGTGGTTATCTAGTAGTCCTTGATCCGATTACGTTATTTCTGAGATTCCTAGTTCATACTATAATTCAAATACTTGTTATCACCATAGATACTTTGAAGTCAGTTGATGGAAATCAGGTAATCATACAGCATGAAACGTTGTTTTGTAATAATTACTTAAAGAACTGACTTTGATAGTAGTTTGGAAACTTTCGAGTACAGATGAAGTCTTGCTTGTGTATCATTGGTTAGTCTTGTCATATTAAATTAAACTCAAGTTATTATTCTCCAACATGAAATCTTGTCTATGAAGCTATAACAAACCTCGTCACTAAACTAGTAAGTGACTAAGGGTATGAGAATCAACTATTTTGAAAATTTATTAACTACTGAGGATAACGAATCTACCAATTCCAAAAATAAAGAGTTGTATCGATGCTGGTGATATTGTATCGAACAAGAAGACGAGTGAGGACAATCAAATGTATTTGAGCACGAAATTACAGAGCATCTCATTAATATCTGAAAACAATACAGTAAATACTTAGTTTGCAAAATATCAATCAATTGTCTCAAACTTCACTGTTCCTCGTTATATACTACTGACGTGTATATCAGTAGCGCACATCACAATATGAAAATAAAGGGAGAATAGTCTGAGTTTGAACAAAATAATTTGTTTTTTTAAGAATTGATAAATAGCAATCAGGAAAGTGTTGAGACGCTTGATTTGTTTGGTGAAATACTAAAAGGTAATGAGGACAATACTTCTGAAAGAAGAGAGACTAACTGAAGGAAAAATATGCAAAAATCCGTAAAAATTAATAGACAGTAGTAGTGAAAATACTTTCGAGTAATATAGTAAACTGGCTGAAGTTAGAAATATGGATACCGATTCAGTAGTGTGAAGGATAAGTTGTCAGCACGATACCTAAAGATACCGAAGGTCGTGGACTGGGAGCACCCAGAGACATACTAGAACGAGACAGCTGTTCAGTGTTTTCTAACCAAAGTTAGTTTGTGATGTGAAACTCCGATTTATGCTTTTGATATGAACAGCGAAACAAAGAAGCTGTGACAAGCAACGTAAGCTACTTTTGCGGACGTTATTTTGTTTAATTCAAAGCTTTTAAAACACTAACATTTGCTTTTGTTCCTAGTTTATTTTACAAACCATAAGCTTTCGTTTGGTGTATGGTTCACTGCCATACCCCTTTTATCCCAAAGCTATTGTTATTTAAACATACCCTAATCCCCTGTTTTGAACACAACTGTATTTTTCTAATTGTTTGTGCGTTGTGTTTGTGATTGTTACCTATTTATTCATGTATCGTTTTGCACTAATCTGAATCGGAGTTGGGAATAAATCGAGTAGTGTTCCAGTTGACCTGCCTTCTCTCTCTTGTCAACCAATTAGGTGATAGAACAGTTTTCGTCTCTCTGTCCAAAGCAATTAGTCTTGCTTCGAACTCACGCGTTTCTAAACTCAAGGTTAAACGGTCAGGCTATCGCTTCAAGGTTTTATTCTAGATTTTAACAAGTCGTCTTCCATATATTATTGGGTAGACAGATCAAGGACGTAACAACTTTGGTTGGCGAAAATGAAAAAAATACGCTCCCCACAAAGTGTACTAAATCATACAATATCTGCATCCCTGTTTATAACGATGTTTTATGAGTTAAAC